AGGAATTAATGCATCATGAAACCAAAATAGGATGGGTGTGATTATTTTATTGGCATACACAGAGAGTGTATTAGTCAGCTATTGCCTCAGCTCCCCAGACGGTGCTTGTCTGCAACTACCCCCCTCACATATAACATCACTGGTTATTACTGCAAGAAGACTTGCTTTGGGTTTTAAATTAAGTATCAAACATTTCAGAAAAAGTACTGTCTGCCCATTTATTTATTTTCTGTGAAAAAATTTAAAAGTCAATTTGTAACTTCTGTCTAAACCACTACTGAAAGAACAGAAAACATACACAGTAAGAATAGGTGCTTAAAATAGACTGCTCCCACCCCAAATGTTCATCCTTTTCCACTAATTACCATATTTACCCAGTTCCCATTTCACTTCTTCACTTCCAAGTCTTTTCAAGCCTTTAAAGTGAAAACCCATGAACTTGGCTATTTAATGTAAACATCACTTTGGTAAAAATAATTTCACTGAAAAAAAAACCCCATGGAAGAAACAGAATGAGAACAAAAAAAACAATGAAGACACGGAAGAGTGACCTCAAGGACAGCACTTTAAGGAGGAAAATGAAAGGCAGGCAAAGGAGTAAGAACCCGGATTCTCATTCGAGGTCTTAGATGCCTTTTGACTGAAGTCTGCAAAATCCTACTGTTGCCATGCTAACTTTAACATAAACCAGTAGTAGAGAAAAGATTTTCTCTCTCATTACTTTAAGTTGTTAAGCAGTGTTTGACATACAGAGACTATTTTCCTGGTTTTTTTAGCGGAGTCATTCCAGAGGTGCATGCTAGAGATGTTGTGTTTAATCGATATCATGATTTTTAAAAGCCTCTACAGTTTGCCAAGGCAAAATCCATACCACAATACCTTTGCAATTACTCTGTTGTTTTTGTAATGTGCACTCAAGAAATTGCTAGCAGAAATTCCCCTTTGCCTCACAGAAGTAAAGCTGCATCACAGTATGAATGGCTCCCAGGAAAAGCATTTGACCACTCCAACGTAACAGATACAAGTGACTTAAAGATCCAAACATGAAAAGTTTTGATGGATAGCCACTATAAATACACTTCACTATGTAATTGTAAGAAATAAATCTTATCTTCTCTCTTGTGCAGTTCAGATCAATAATCAGATGGAAGGGACAACACTTTTTCAATAAAATGATTTTTTTTTTAGTTCAATATACACAATACTGTGTTTTAACTTCTTGTTAACCTAGCCATCAGGTGCCTCAATTATAGCTTATCTAAAAACCTGTTTAAAATACCTGTAATTTACTCAAAATACTAAAAGTTTGTGAAATGTTTATGCTGCAAAAATAACATTCCAAAGATTACTACAAGAGTTTCGTGAATATGAGCCAGGAAAAATAACTATTGCAGTTTAAGTATCTACAGAAACAATGTACCAAGAGAAGCAGGTGTTTTTTGCCACTCTGGTATTTAAAGTTTCTTATTCAAAATTGCAACATTAACTTATGCTTATTAGTAAAAAAGACGCAAGAGCAGGACAGCTTGGACTTCACATACCAAAGGAACCAACAACTACATGACTGACACTAATTGGATTGTAAATTCTCACTGACAGACTCTCTCCAAACACACATTTAACTGCAATGACATCTTAGTGAGGTCAGAGATGACCAAGTGTAAACCAGTTGAATTTAGCCTACAAATATTTAAATGCCTTGAGATGCCTTTCCCTTCAGACATTTGAGGTTTTTATGAAGCAACTGCCTCTTTCTTACAAAAAACATGGCAGACATACTTTTAGTGGATAACGTACTGGAGTGAAAGTGGCAGAAAGCCTTTTCTGTTTCTCAATATAAATGCAGTTCATGTTCTTTAAGTATCTTTGTGATGTACTGACTTATTTCAGTAAAATTAGATTGTTACATTAAATGAATATATTTACTTAAAATGGGAAAAAGTCTGCCAAAAAGTTTGAAGGTTCTTAGAAAAATGGTTTTTGAAGTGTAACACAAGATCTTTGCCAATGAAGGATGCATCTGTGGTTATGAACTAACTGAAACTTATAGAAAGAGCATTTCTTCAAATACGAGGGCTGAGCAGTCAGAAAACTATGCAATAAAATGGCATTTTAAAAGGTTATTTAGGCTCTTTGACTTGAAATTCTTTCCATGTCTATGCAACCTAACATGCAATAACTGCATATTTTGATTAATAAAAAAAGATGGAGAAATACCATGAATGCATAGATGGTCAAATTTAAAGACCCCTATTTAGGTTACCTACCAGCAAAACATTTTAAAAAGGTATCTGCATAAGCTCACTAAGCAAAGTTTAATCCTCAGGACATCCTTTTTTCTGAGCAGAAGGCTCTAGATCACAACTGTTCTTCCATGCAAAGCATCCAATTCTGGTGCTAGGTCTACAGAGTAACGTTCCACGAAGAACAGATGGATGGCCCAGTGCTGGCTCTCGTGATCTCAGTTATGACAATAAACCTCAGGCAAATACGACTGCCCTATTAACTGTGCTAACCTTCTATCATGGGAATCACGCAGTATTTCTGTAGCTTTTCTTAATATTCTAAGGCCTTCCTCTTTCTAAATCCACATGGATAGCAAATATAGAAGCAGTCATAAATCCAGAAGCTATTAAAAAAGAAAGTAAAGCTGCATCTGTTTCAATGGAAGCATCACTTGAGACATGGGTTCAAACTTTTTTAAGATGACAAATCATTAAGCTGGTCATAAAGTCAAAAGGCAGCTATTTCACTGTTAAGAAAACCTCAAGGGATGAAAACATAAATAACTTGCACTGCAATTAAGCTAACAAACAATGCTATAGCTATGATAAATGCTGATCTGATGGAGAAGATAGTAAGAAAATATCCTCTTCTACATTTAAGAGAGGCTACCTAGGGAGCACCATAAGGTGGCTTTGTATATCTCATGGAACGGTACTATTGTAGCCATTTTATAATACAGAGGTTTTTGGAAGTACTATATTCTGGTTTATGTTTTCTTTCCACACAACAAGCAGAAATTGCCATCATACTTCAACACAAGCAAGGCACTGGCACTGCTTGACTTCATTGCAAATGTTCAAAGATGGTTTCTAGTCAAGACATTCAATGGATTGAATCTAGGACATCATACTTCAAATATAGCAGAAAAAAAATAATATTGTTTCTGGAACAGCAAACTTTGCAAACAGTCATGGTCCTAAAACACAAGCTTTCAGTGACTTAGGTTCTTTTGATTTGTTCTTTCCGACCTCTGGGTCAGGAAGTCAGGTGTGACCAGCAGTATTAAGTAGCTTTGCCATCCATTATGTAGAAGGAATGAACACTTACCTTGACTGTAATGAGGTCATGAGCTCAGATGTGACAGATTCTTTGCAGAACGGAAAAACAGCATAAAGACCAATTCTTCAATTAAAAGAGAAATCTCTCCTACAAATTAACTTCTAACTTTCTTTATAAAAAAAATAAAAGATACCTGTTTCAAAATAATTTCAGCTGCTTTAGTCCTCTAGATTAGTTTGCAAACTTTTGTTGTCCTCCTTTGCTACAAATGAACAGTGCAAAATGAATGTTTGCCACTTTGCACATGGAGTTATTGCCTCCTTTCACTGCTGGATTGACCAAAGGCCAGTTCTGAAATTATGTATTTTTTTCCCCTGAATTTTTATGGGCATGTCTGCACAAGACCAGTAGAAATCTATTTCCCTAGTACATCCAAGCTCTGCATCTCAGCCAGGAAGCGCAAGATGAGGTCACTAATCCGTTCTATGAAAGAGTTCCAGTCTGCCCTTAAAACTGGAACATGTTAAAATTGGTATACTCTATCATCCTCAAAACTTCTCATCCTGTCCCATTCCCAAGTACATCTCACTCTTCTACCCTCTCTTCTCCTGCCTATACACCTTGCCTGAGTGATGCTAGCCCAAGTTTCCTGCCCCGTCTTGTTCTGCCTTTACTTGGGGATCAACAATAAAGAATATGAGAATATGTGTCAGAATATAAAGCATTTACTCCCAAATCTTTCTATGATCATCTAAACTATTATTAGTAATTAAAAGCTGACTAAAATGAAATTAAACTATAATTACACAATTGAGTCTAACAAAAGTCCTGGGTAACAATTTATTGAGAAAACTGTCAAAACTCCAACTTAATTATTTCCTGGTATGCTATGTACTGACTTTGGAAAGAAGAGTCAGTACAGAACTCTTGCTTTTATAACCTTGTTCTAAAGCAACAAGATATTCAGGTACTCCAATAACAGACAACTTATGGAAGTTAATCATGATAAACAGAAGTCACTTGGAAAAAATGTAACTTACTGACATGCACCTTAAAACATTACACAAATACAAAAAAAACCCACACTTAATTCTCTTCTGACCTTGCCCAGTGGATGGTGCCTGAAGCAGAGCACACAGAATGCAGAGCCTTTTATCCCCTCTTTATATAGCACCATATAAGAAAGTATGTGCTTACTCTGTTTAGTAAATCAATTTCTTCCCTCAGCTTTCCGATTAGTTCCTCTTTGTCCTGGGTCATCTTCATTAATCTCATGTTTTCCTGTCTCTCCTTTGCAAGTTCCTAAAACCAGAGTATGTAATGAAGTTTGAAAGGTAATTTTATTAAGAGATAGTTTTAAGTTATTACCATTTAAAGCAAACAAGCAAAGAAAAACCCACACCCACTTACCTATAATCCATGTTTTCAAGCCCTTAGATTTCAAGGAGCTAAAGAATCACATCCAAGAAAATATTTTACCAACAGCAAACCTGCGTGATATCTCTGATTCCAGAGATAATGTTTTAATAAATATTTAACTTAAGCATGAACCCCAAATTGAATAGGGGCCCAAAACAGAAGCAAATGTAAAGTATCAGCTTCCAAATTTGCTATATTGGGAGGGTTAGTCCTTTTAATCAGGCTTCCCCAAGTCTTAAAAAAAAAAGTAAAAAAGTAAATATGTTTTATTTTCATCTTTTCCAAAAAAGATCTACTCAAATGGTGTTTACTTGGTAACTTTCATCCATACAAAGTCAAGAATATTTGGCAAGTTATCCACAAAAATCCACTTCAGAGGAAGACAGAGAAGCCAGTAATAGATTACACAGATGACATTATTTAGCTAAATACTGCTTTAGGTGAAAAACTCAGCTTTAATGTTATTACGTTTTCCCAAAATTGTTTGTATGAAGAATGTCTAAAATAATGAAAACTTTGTTTTAAAGATGTATTTTAAATGTTTAAAACTTTAACAAACAATTGGATACCAATTAATTTTTATAATATTTCAGTACATTAAAAAACCCAAAAAAGCAGCAGATCAGAATCAGGCTTGCTAATTTTCTGAACAGCCAGTGAGCCCCTCCTTCCCCCAAGCTATTTGCCCTGTGTTGGCGTGTCACGAGGTACATACAAGAAATACGTAGAGCACTACTGGCTGTCTAAGTGTATTACCTTTACCTCAACTATTCCTCACTTATATACCAAATGAAAACTAAATGTCTGTGATTAGAAAGTTCACATTCTTCTCAGTCAGTCTGACTCTTTATACATTTTTATAGACATAACTATCTGTACTTCAAGCATTCAGCATCGTTTATATATATCATACTTGTAAATTCCCCCATGGAGTTTCAAAGGTACTTTGTTTCAGATGTGTGTCAAGCAGATGTTAGTTGGTACTTACCCTTTCAAGTTCCTCAATCCTCTTTTCCAAAGCATTACTTGGTATGGAACTGCCAGAAGAATTTGCATCCCTGCTGTATCTGCTGTAAGTTGTCCTGTCTGTTCGGGAATATCTATTTGGAGCATCGTCTTCTGGTGCTGTGCTACAAAGGCAAGAGCAAAGAAGTAACAAGAATTGCTTTCTAAAGCACTCAATAGTCAGTCTAATAAACCACAGAAAACTTACTTCACAGCTCTTGTGTTACTGAGAACTCACTAAATTCACTGCCTTGGGGAGTCAAATACTTGGATAATGCAGCTCCCATCACATAGGTAATCAACTTTAAACACATACTTATCCAATCTTATTTTTAAAGATTGAAAAGTTTTATGAATTGTGTGCATTAAAAACCAAGCTAAACAATTTTATTTTGAAAAGTAAAGTACCACTATGGAGTTTAAACCAAGCATCTTTTTAAGTAGATGAAAACATAAAGGATGAAAACATGTACACGTAAGCTTACACACAAAAACATGTGTAAGCAGCTTACACACATCAACTGACTCTCCAGGAACTATGGATATGGCCTGCAAGGAACCAGAAAGCAAACCAAAGTGAGAAAGTGATGCAGCCCAATATACTAATTGTATGCCATTTCCTAAAGTTTTACTTCAGAACTTGGATACACAGCAGTTTGTCATAATTCAGTTGGTAGACACTCACTCATTAACTGGTGATATGTTTTTTCCTCTAGATCATGTGTCTATTCCTTAAAAAATCACTGCTGTGGAATCTTAAAAGATAAGATAACTGCAAATGCACATAAGCTAGTTTTAAAAAAGCTTATGGGTTCTCCATTATGATTGCTATGTACAAAAACAGTGCTAATCTAAAAATACATATAAGCAGCCAAGCATTTTCAAAGTCAAAAATTTAACAGTGTTCTTGCCATATTTTCTTCCTAATAGCAATGTTATTTACCTTCAATGTAGAATCTAACGAATAATTAAGAGCAACAGAGTGCCCTGCGACCAGGCAGATACAGATTTTTCCCTTCTCAATCCACCAAAACCACACTACTTTGACTTTGAAAATACATAGCTAAACGGCCAAAGACAAAAAAAAACCCAGAACAACCCTTGTTCAGTCTTCACCAGGAGAACTCGAATGGAGATACTCAAAAGCCATCTGGACATGGTCCTAGGCAACCAGCTCTAGGTGGCCCTGCTTGAGCAGGAGGGCTGGACAAGATGCCTTCCAGAGGTCCCTTCCTACTTCAACCAGTCTGTGAAATCACAGAGATGAAATATGTATATAACGGTTTTCTAGAGCTCTTAGAATGAAAAGCATGAAAACACTGAGTATCCCTACAACATTTCATTTCAAACACAGAAGAGTATATGATTCATCTGTTCACTTAACAGTGTTTTGTTTCATAACTCTAGAAAACCCCTGCTGACAACGTGCAAATCTAGATGGATACAGTGCAAATCAAAAGCAGGAGTATCTGGCTAAAGGACGTCTTTTCATGGATATAAATATTGTTTTGCTCCAGTACGTGTGAAGTTTCCAAGGCACACTGACACAATTGTAAGGAATTTTGTAGCTTAATGTTATTACCATATTTAGCACTGTTTATTCATCTAGAAGATCTTTTTTAAAAAACATTTCTAGGACCGGATATGCATGTTGCAACACAACATAAGAGAAATATTTTAGCTTAACTCTATAAATTCTAGATTGTTTAGCTTTCTGAAAGACATGTTGTTTCGTACTGTTAATGTCACAAGGATAGACCACATAAAAAAGGCTCAATATTTCATCACTCAAAAATGAGCCCTTTTGCCAACACTGGAGTATCTCAACTCAGCTCCAGTAAGTGATCTTGGCAGATGCTCCTACAGGAAAGTTAGAATAAAGAATACCTAGATAGGAAGGGTTTCATTAATACTGAAAATTAAGACATTTTCTGTATTTTCCTTGAAACTCACACTCAAAAATCTCTTCATTTATTCCACTGGGGAGCAGACCCTACCAAACACATTCCTTTTCAGTATCAGCAAGTACAAAGGACATATCATGCAGACTTCTAGGAAATGGGATTAAAAAAAAAACATTTAAGGAGGCATGAGACCGTAACCTAACAGAAGGAATGTGATGGATACAAAGTTCATTGTTTTAGCTGTTATAACCAATATCCAGCACACAGCAACAGCAAAAAGATAGCATCCAAGACACAGTAGGCATATCTTTTGCAAAGAATGGAATTCTAGTCACTCTGTGAGCTTTAAACAAGAAAGAAAACTTATTTAGAATAACAGTATCACTGAACTCAGTGCCTATGCATCACTAAGAGAAAATACCTATCAACCAGCCCCAACAAAGATATCTCTATGGAAATAAACCTGTATATTTTTTATATAATATATTTTATATTTATAAATATATAACAATACTACTACTACTGCTACTAATCTGTAAAAACTGAAGAGCTTTGTATACTACTAAGAAAACAAACTGGGTTTATGCCTTGTTTTGGGGGACAGGGGGGAAACTGCATGCATGTGACAGCAGAACCTGTTCAGTTTGAGACTGCAACTGAAACCTTGCTTCCTCCACTCCTAACTGAATAAAGGTTTACAAATACTTGCAATTTGGAAGTTGCTGGATTCTCGCAAAAGGTATGAAAGAAAAGAAAGCCTACTGTCAGTAGATGTACATTGGGTAAAAGCAGTCATTACCACCAGAAGAAAAATGACAGGTGTCTGTAAGTTGAAAAAATTTAGAGTCACTGCTCAAGAAGGCAATTCAAAACATATTCCACTTTTTAGCAATCAAGTAACCTATGCACATGACTGTTTCAACACTTCCAGTTGAAAGAGCCACAGGAAAGAGTATTTTTAAAATTATTTTTCAAGAAGAGTATCTGAGATTGTATTTGTAGCCATATGTACACTGGATTAGAGTGCCCAACTGGACAGTAGCAAAGAATGCATCTGGACAGAAACACCCCTCACTATGGCTTCAAAAGGGCATGTTGTTTAAACAAAATTCAACTTGTTCCACTAGCTTACTTTCAATTAGCCACTATCAAAATTTCATTTTAAATGTGCATTCCTGTACTAGAATGCTGAAAACACTTCTGCAACTTAAGATGACTTGCTTTTGAAAGTTTTTTCTGGCTGTACTTAAATAGAAATCATAGAGTGAAATCAACCCACATCACAGTTTGACTACTCATACACAGAAATAGAAGTTTCGTTTTGGAACGATGTTCTAGTCATTTCTTCAAAGTAAAATCAGTTATTCACACAGAGGCAGGCTTAACAGCAATATTACTGAAAGGTGGAATAAATCTTGCACCTCCCATTGCCTCTTTGGTTCCCTCAATGTCTTCCTAAAGCACTGTCCAAACTGCAATTTCATCCAATTAAAATCACCCAGTCAAAAACAGATTTCATTGATTTCAACTACGACACATTTCTTTTTATTGCCAGAATCTTGTCACTATACTTGATTTGAAACTCCTAATTAATTATGTCACTGCAATCCAGTCAGTTGCTAACAGCTTTTTTGGAAGAATGAGCAAAAGACAGTATTTCTAAATAGGCCACCTTGGACTTCTGTTACTTCGGACTGCTCAAGCTGAGTTCGTGGCTTTCAGAGGTGAGCTAAGGAAAGGCAGTCTTGTCTTCTCTACAGCTGCACGTTCCTAGCCTCCTCCACTTTTCCTGGGTCTGGCCTTCAGGTGACTGAGTAGGAAACCATTCAAGGAGCTGATGCAGCAATCCAGAGCCCAGCTAAAGGAAGCCATCGACCTATAGCCACAGTGGCTCCCTGAAGCACCACCCTGTCCGGTTGCATGGGCACTGACTGGCACAAGGGACAGTGAGGAACTGCAGTCGGCTCAACTTAGACCATCAAAAACTTCTGCAGAAATAAACCCTAAGCGCTTCTGCTTTCTAATAAGATCGGCACTGGCTGAAAAGGGGATACAAAAGTCAAGAAAAGTATCCTGAGTGCCCCCTGTCTATTTTAAGTGTTCGTATCTGCCCAGTAGTGGTCCTAAGGTAACAAGCTAAATAGACAATGCTTCAACAGCCAACCCTCGCTGCAAAACTTCCAAACACAGGCAAGCAGGCAAGTCTGGGCATAGTATTATGAAACAGTCAGTATTTTGCAGCTGCATTGTTGTTTTTTTTTTAATTAGTGAGACCAAGGTTAGTATGATGGAATGTAAATTGTTATAGTTTAAGCCTTGCAGTAATCTAAAACCTCTGAGCAAGAGAATTTCAGCAGGGCTCTAACATTTCCTTCACAGCACCTCCAATGAATGCTCTGGAGCACAAACTTCTTCTCTTCTTGTGATCTCTTCTTCCTCATTTATTTTCCAACTCTTGCACGAATGTTAAACTTGAGTACAATGTAGTCTTTTAGAATTAGTGGGTGAGGGTCTCCGTGTTAGTGTGTAGTACTACCCTAAAAGAGGGGAAAAAACCTCTCTGACGTTTTGTCTGGAAGTCATAAAATCATACCATATTGTATTCATTTCCACTAGTAAGCAAACTTATAAGGGGAACACACCCCTGAACCACTAAGAGATTTTAATCTAACTCTTTCTGTAAACTGACCCAGCCTGATCTGTCTGATCCATGAACCATGCAAAAATCTTCAGAGTTATTTTAAATCCTGATTTGCAGGGTTTTCTTTTCAGTTTAAGACATTTCTAAAAAAAGAGCTAAATTGGTTCAAAAGCTAGTAGGCAGTCTTAAAAAATAAGCTGTTATAACAAATTCCCTGTACTAATAAAAATATTCCTATGTCCACGTACATATCTTACTTTACTGTTACTTGCAAACAAACTTTTTAGTTCACAGAACTCAAGAGAAACCTAATTTGTGTTTACACATAGATTACACTCAAATATTTCAATAAACAGAATACACTTGTCATTCTCTTGTTTGAGAAATCAGTGATGATACCAGCTATGCTGATAGCATCAGACCCGAATCATTCTTACTGACGGTAACGTGCTTGTTGCTTTAAAATAACTACCCACAAAGCAGCGCAAAAACTGGTAGACCCAGTTAACAGTAATAGAGGTTTGGAATGGCCAAGATGAGGTGTATCGCATGAAGAAAAGCTTAGGGAAAAATGAAAGAT